AGGTGGAAGTGCATTGGTGTGATCTGAAGCTTCATTGCAGCCTCAGACTCCTGGGCTGAAGCAATTTTCTTGCCACAGCCTCCTGAGTAGCTGGGACTACAGGTGTGTAGTTCCATAGGTACTAGGATTAGAGACTAGGTCTAATTTTTTTTCTTTTTCTTTTTTTTTTTTAAGAATAGTGGGTCTTGCTGTATTGCTTAGGCTTGTCTTGAACTCCTGCCTTCAGGAGATCTTTCTGTCTTGGCCCCCAAAAGTGCTGGAATTTCAGGCACCAGCCACTGCATCTGGCTAGAACTTCATATTATTTTGTAATATCAGCAGGCTCTGCTTCTCAGAGCAAACCCCACTTTGAGAAGCAAACCCCACTGGAGAGGTGTTACACATTCTTGGAGAGGTGTTACACATTCTTGGATAGTCAGCTTTGAAAGGTCCATTTATCTCTTCCCTTCAACTTCCAGATATGTTGAAGTGCAGAAAATTCTGTCCGTTTAATTTACACTTACTGCTGCCTTCCACGCGAAGGTATCAGACCACATGATGACTTCTTTACGTGGTGCATCTGAAAGAAAACTCGGAAATGTGGCCGTGCGAGGTGATTGACGCCTGTAGTCCCAGCAGGTTGGGAGGCCGAGGCAGGTGGATTACTTGAGATCAGGAGTTCAAGGCCAGCCTGGCCCCCATGGGGAAACCCTGACTCTACTAAAAATACAAACATTAGAGGACAGGTGTGTTGGCTCACTCCTGTAATCCGAGACCTTGGGGAGGCTGAGGTGGGTGGATCACCTGAAGTCAGGAGTTTGAGAGCAGGCTGACCAACATGGTGAAAACATGTCTCTACTAAAAATACAAAAATTAGCTGGCTATAGTGGTGGGTCCTTGTAATTCAAGCTACTTTACAGGCTGAGGCATCAGAATCCCTTGAACCCGGGAGGCAGAGGTTGCAGTGAGCTGAGATCGTATCTCACAGCTTATTTTCAGTTTCCCATTCTATTAAATTCTTATAATCAAATTCCACATGGAGATCATTTAGGAAAAATAATCCCAGGGTCAGAATATCATCGGCACTTTTTTTTTTTTTTTTT